ATCAGATGTTAATGCGAGGTAGAGCGAATTGCCACATGAAAATACAGTTAATATCTAGGAATAGACTTAGAAGTCTCCATGAGTGCATGGGTGAGGTATGGAATTTAAGGCTTGTAAAAATGTTAACAATTAGATTGAAATTCTTCCAGAAAGCTAAGTTATTGAAACCTGCGCATGTTAAAAGATTACCTATATGTTTCTGCCCTAATTCCATGCTCATTTGACTATGCCAAGCAGTAAACTGGATACAGCAGGCTCACAAAGCTGCCCAAAGTTGCGAGTTAAATTTGCCCACAAGTTAAATTATTTCTTGTTATCTGACAAAAAGACAACCAACATCTGAAAATAAGCATTGAGGCCTGTACATTATAGCTCATTTACCCACATGGTAGACAGTCAATTTTCCAAGTCGCAAGCTTGCCGATATTCGTTTTAGTGCTCATCAACTCAATCAAACTCAAATCATCAACTTAAATATGGAAAAAATGAGGCCAAATGAAATCATTGCAAAATTGAAAGAATATAATTATAATATGTCATTACTTATCTATTGGCACCTTATCAAAATGAGTGGAAAAAGATGGTAAAGAAGCCATTCTAAAAAACGAGATAGAAAGCGCGAAGGAAGGAGCAACAAAAATATACTGAAAATGATTAATATTAATAATTACGAATTAAAGAAATACATGACGTCAATGTCCAGATGAGGATTCTTGTTCTGTGTTTAAATGCAAGACAGGCATTGATAGATCTAATAGGCGGGGACTTAATTTCAAAATAAAAAAATACACTAATGACGGGTGGACTTGTGTATTGGGGGGGGGGGATAGAAGACTTGCCTTACATTTAAAATGCTTTGAATATGGCGGATATAATAAAAGCGAGTACATTGCAAGACTGGAAACGTGACGAATCACAAGTTACTTAAATTGCTTCCGACCACGTGAAGGAATTTACTAAAAATAGCAATCAAAGAATAAGATTAGCAGAATTAACGCTGCCCCCCCCCCCCCCCCCCCCTGAGGAGCGGTACCAAAAATAAAAAACACAATAAAGTTCACATTCGCAGAAATATCGTCGCACCTCACCCAAGAAGTGATGCTTGCTGAAATACAATTATGGACATAATATATACATACAATAAGAAAATAACGCCAGACTATAGCTAGACAATTTTAGTTTAGCCATCCCCGCGATTAGTTTAGCATCTATGTGAACTATAACTATACCGGGGGTCCCAAACCAGCGATTGACACTAGTACTAGTAAGCCTATATTAGGAAGGGTCTAAACACCGGTATCCAGTTTCGCGAGTTGTGAAAACCTAAACAACGGGCATCACTTCTCTGATCGGCTAATTTTGAAGACAGTTTTGTCAACTTATAGTGCCCGCGTTATTTTGTTTATTTTTTTTTATTATTTTGTGTCAATTTTATTTATATTTTAGAATTAGGAATAGGGTTGGGTTAGGATTAGGGTTAGGATTAGAGTTAAGTTTAGGGTAGCCGGTCTATATCACAACTTTCAAGTTGGTTTAAGTGGCTCATCGCGAAGCGCTTTCGCTTCAGGATAGTAAGAGCCACCACGTGTTCGAACCCCATAGATAATTTTTATGTTCCTCTTGCTTCTGTTTCTTGTATATTATTTGTTCATGCCATTTATCGTTGTTCTGTAAACTTTTGTTTATGTTCGCGAATAGAAATATTTTCTTGTTTGCATTGAAAATTGTTCTGTTAACTAATATTCATATTATACTATATTTGTCCTGTTACAGTTATGTTCGGAACTGACCTATGCAGAGACGAGAGCCGGATGTTTAGTGTTCAGTTCCGAAACTGGTCCGCGTCGTTTTAGACCTGCTTATTATCTATTAGCGCTATAGTCTTAGAGGCTATAACGAGAGTGTAAGCAACAGTACACCGATTGACAGGTGTTCCTGCACCAGTAGTTTCGCATCTCCGCGGAGCCCGGATGCTGCGCAGTAAAACTCCCCATGTTGTATAATCTCGATGCGTTGTCATCACCTTGCATACGCAGTCGCCTCACCTTGTTGTTGAAGAACATGCACGTAGCAGGAATGGAGCACCAATGGATCGACCTGAGTGACATGACATTGATACATTTACAATTATGGTCAATTCCCATGCCTCTAAGTTTTTCTTAAGCCAATCGCATCCGTTTGACGCCTTCCACACTACACGTTTCACACGAGTAAAGAATTTTACCGCCGATTCTGCCGGACGAAACCCTCCCGACTTTGACCTTAGCTTAAAGCACATGCGCACAGTGTTTAAACTGTCAAACGGGTGCTTAACACGTATTCAGCCATTAACACTAGCCTCTAGCGAACTATAGCCGCGTTACGAGTTGCCGCAGGCGGCCGGCCTACAGCGGCCACAGCGCCACAGCGGCCTACAGGCCTGCGCCCAAACTGTACGGGGCTATTTTATTCGCACGACTTTAAATTGAAAGCGGCCAACATGTTCTGTAGCATTTGCTGCTCTTACTTTACAAAGTCGACTCTTAACGGGCCAGATTCAAAAACCAATGCTTCATAACGCATCGATCGAATTAAATCATAAATACACAGTATATAAACAACATAAAATTTACAAAAGCAAACCATCTTCATCGATGTTGTAGTATGGCAACTTACGCCGCCAAAGACTGTAAGCTGTGTTGATAGAGCTAAAGATGGTACCATTCTTAAAGCGCTCGTACTGAAGCATAAGGCACATGACCTTATTGACACAGTTTATCAAAATATAAAAAACGCTTTTATTTAATTTTAAAATCACTTAAAGAAAAGTTTAGCTCAGCGTCTAGGCGTTATTTTTTTCAGACTAATTTTAGGATTATAATTACGCTACATAAAAAGTTCATGTTCAATCACATTAGAAAATATATATTAAAAAATGGGTTTAGAAGCTACTACGACATACAAGTTTGAACATACACGACGGGGCGCCACTCAATGCGCACGAATGATAAGTGCGCAAAACACTTTCAGCCAAGCGGCTACAGACTGGGGCGTTATCTTTAATTTATTTATTAAAAGCAAACGATTGTAATACTTATAGACGAACATATAGTTCAGATTATAATATGGCATAAACTTGCCCTAAAAAATGAATAGCGTTAGTTAATAGCATTTAGGTATAAATATAAATTGCACTTTTTGAATTAACCCTTGGTCGAAGTTAACGTGCACAAATAAATTGTCAAAAATACCCAAACTTTTTTCGGGTGCAGCCGCGTCTGCGGGTGTCATGGCGCCGTTCAAATTGCGTAGCGTTAATTGTAATTAAATTATAAACAATTAAATTATGATCTTGTAACACAATACGTGTGGGTATAGACGATTTGCTTATACAGGCGTATAGGACATGTTGTATGACAGTAAAATACTAGGAGCTACTGTCCCTTAACAAATTTACAGCTCATCAAAGAAAGCTGTGTAATATGTAAAATGTTGCATGATTGGGAAAGAAACATAGTGCGTAGACTCATTAAAATAAACTTTTCGAGCTGCCGACGGCCATGCAAATTAAGACTGAAAGATTATTATTGATGTGTAGAATTAGTACCAGAGCCGACACAGACTCCAGTAATGCGGGTAAACCGCAGATAAACCTCACAGATCCGCCAAATCGCAGATAAAACCGCAGAGCCCGGATAAACCGAGATTAAAACCCAGCAGCATCGCAAAATCCGCCAGTAAAACCGCAGATCTTCGATAACCCGTACCCTCAGATGCAAGCGGAGTTATAACGTCGGCATTTTGCGGACTAGTGTAGAATATGACAGTATTAAAACTGTATTATATATTATGCTTATTGCAAAAAGAATATTACATCACACATATTATTCTTATTACTATATTATAGATGTACACATTGATTAACGAGAATAATCAATTAGCAATAAATACGCAATTAATAATAAATTAATTAATAATTATTTTTAATATTTATTAATTAATAATTATTATTATTAATAATATTAATAATTAATAATTAATTAATTATTTAATTAAGCAATAAATTATATACGACAAAAAGCAATAAATACTCATATGCATGCGGCCGAGCTGCTACGCCTACTCCCTAACCCAACCCAACCCTAACCATATCATATAGTTACCAGGACGTTGCGCCGCAGTACCCTGGGAGACATCCACTGAGCCGCTAGCTAGACAATTTATATATCTAGAATAAACCATGCACGTTGCAGTCAGTAGCAGCTCGATGTTTTAGCATTGATGTCAATTGGCTATAAATCCGGTGGTGGCAGTATATTTTTGACAGAGTGGCTATATGCCCGGCAGCGGCATAAATCTGACGGTCTGCGGGACACCGGTCTTCGATTTTCCTACAATTCCCGGCAGTTTTTAATTTTCAGCGGTTATCTAAAGTAACAAGGGTTAGGTATAGGGTTAGAACCTCACGGGCATAAGGATTTAATCGGAAGACCGTAGCCCGGCTGCCGGGCAGTTTTTTTATTTAGCACAGCGTAATTTTTTAAACCGTCTGACGTTGCATTACACAACTGATCATTATAGAACCATGCATTTTGTAATTGTTGTCAATAACTGTAAAAATGCAATATTTTCATGAACGTGAGTGAATAAATTTTTAACTAACAGTTTTCTCAAACGAAATTTGCCCATTAAAGATATAGCATAACACGGTTAACTCACGGGTATTAAAACGACGATAATTGTGTTCACTTGGCACTTTGTTCTCCTATTTCGTCTGATCGCTTTTCTAGGTCTTGCAATATAGCTGAGACGAGTTAATCAATGTTGACTAGTCACAGATAACGCAGTGTGTGCATGGCCTGGTGCCATCTTCGCGCCGTTAGTTTGCCGTGCTGGTGTTTTGAGCATAAATCATTGCTTCGAAACCACCCATTGTCAAACTCAAAATGTAAGAGTAGATTGTAGCAGAATTAAATTTGCATATTACTCAATCTGCTTATTATGGAGTATAATAGTTACTATACTGAATAGTTATCGCAGCCTACCTGTCCAAAACTCTAACGTACAACGCTGACTGCACGCCCGCAGTTTCATTTGCCATATTTGCCTAATGCTGCTGCGCTTTACGCGCAGCGCTACTGCGGTAATTCCAGACCGGTGCCATCTCAGACCGTGACACCGGACCACAAAACCGACGCGCGCTAGCGAGTTCAAGTAAAAAATGGCTGCCCAATAGGAATTGCAATGAGTTACTATGCTCGTTGATTTATATGCTCTGCCTAGGGTGCCACTTTCCCCCGGGCGTAGGAGGGAGGGTGCCGCACGTGGCAGCCACTAGTCACTTCGTACACTTCGTCATTCACAGTCATACTTCCGCTGCTGAGACATGGCCTATGCCTTATTTTCCCTAACCCTACAACCCCAACCTACCCTAATCCGATAACTATAACCGCTGCCCTAACCCTAATCCTAACACTGTGTGCTGGCACACGTAGCGCGCACCCTCTGCCTATAGGTCCACCGTCCACTATATATCAAAATATATATCTATGTGTCAAAATATAATTAAAACACAACTACCAAGTTGTAATCAACCTACTATGTATATTATATATATATATATATATATCATTAGTAATATATATACTATATATAATATACAACATTAATAACAAATAATGTGTAAGTGGGAAAGGGTAACGAAAAGTGGCACTGGGAGTGGGAGTGGAAGCTAGGGGGAGGTGAGGAGATTTTTTAAAAGTGTAAAATCGGCCGAAGAAACTTATTTTGGCTGGCAGCGGCCGGTGACCAGTGACGCGAGCGCAATTCTGATGTACATTAATTAGCATAGGAAAGGGACTGTGTTGGGATGCTGCAGACATAGTGAAAATTCTATGGCGGATTTTATCATGCACATCTCTTCAGGGCACACTTCTGCCCGTGTTGCTTACGAGAGCAGCAACGCAGCTGGGTAACGTAACAAAAATAACAATAGCAACGTCATCATGCAATTAACAACAACGCTGAAAAACAACAACGACAACAACAGCAGCAGCAGCAGCAGCAGCAGCAGCAAAAAGCTAAGGAATGAGTTCAAGTTGTAGGTCGACACTGGTTTTATTAACCGAATATACATGTCCGCAGCTCTCTCGCTACCGGTCGACCCCGGCCATCAGCGTCGGGTACATTCAACGAACTACGCACTACTACCACCGGCCGCCCCTCGGCTAGACCACGGCATCCGTATCATCATCATCGTTAGGGCCGAACCCCCTCCCATCCACTCACTGCGCGTCAACAGTGACGTCACGGGTCGTTTTTGCGTCGCGCAGCCTCGATCGATTATCGCTCGTAATCGATATAGCCTCCGATCGGATGAGCGACGGCAGCGACTCTCATCTTCGACGATCGAATTTCGAACAAATTTCGATCGAATTTCGAACGTCGATGCATATACGACGACACTGCCCACCAAAATGTCAAGAACTATAACGACTACAACGATGTCCCCTCTCCATCAGCGTAATGGTCCCACTGCGTAACAGTATAGCGTGCGAGAATGAATAATCATAACCGGTATGGTGCCGAATACCAAAGCAGAAACCTAGAATAACCCTCGTATCGCTGAAATGTTACAGTGCGAAGCCCAACGGCGACCAGTCCTAACAAATAACATAGCGCGTGCTAACGACACGTTAATATTGTACGTACTACACGTAATTATACAGGTATTCCATGTACGTTAATATTACACGTACAACATGTGACCGTATATATTATCTATTCTATACGTAAACATTACACGTGGAACATGTGACCGTATATATTATCTATACGATAATACTCTACGTACAACACGTTACCACACGTAATTTCGATATGTTCATATTATATTTACTACACATAATTATACACGTGATCGATACATTAATTATTATATGTATAACACGAGATCATGTAGCATACATAGTACACTACAGCGCAAGCGACATAGCTATTCTATCGGTAGAATGTATAGCGAGGCAATGGTGAGTGCAGTGGGCAAACCTGATCATGAATGACAGGGGTTATTTAATTAAGCAATAAATTATATACGCAAAAAGCAATAAATACTCATACTGCATGGGCGCTGCCTACGCCTACTCCCTAACCCCAACCCTAACCCTAACCATATCATATAGTTACCAGGGTACGTTGCGGCAGTACCCTGGGAGACATCCTCTGAGCGCTAGTAGACAATTATATTATAATAAACAATGCACGTTGCAGTCAGTAGCAGCTCGACTGTTTTAGCATTGTGTCAATGGCTATAAATCGGTGGTGGCAGTATATTTTTGACAGAGTGGCTATATGCCCGGCAGCCGGCATAATATCTGACGGCTGCCGGGCACGGTCTTCGATTTCCTAAATGCCCGGCAGTTTTTAATTTTCAGCGTTATCTCAAGTAAACAAGGGTTAGGGTTAGGGTTAGGAACTGCCGGGCATTAAGGAAATCGAAGACCGTGCCCGGCTGCCGGGCATATAGCCACAGCGTATTTTTTAACCGTCTCGTTTCATTACACAACTGATCATTATAGAAACCATGCATTGTAAGTTGTTGTCAATACCTTGTAAAAATGCAATATTTTCATGAACTGAGTGAATAAATTTTTTAACTAACAGTTTTCTCAAACGAAATTTGCCATTAAAGTATAGATAACACGGTAACTCCACGGGTATTAAACGACATAATTGTGTTCACTTGGCACTTTGTTCTCCTATTTCGTCTGATCGCTTTTCTAGGTGCTTGCATATATAGCTGGACGAGTTAATCAATGTTGACTAGTCACAGAACGAGTGTGTGCATGGCTATGTGCCATCTTCGCGGTAGTTTGCCGGTGTGGTGTTTTGAGCATAAACATTGTTCGAAACCACCCATTGTCAACTCAAAATGCTAAGAGTAGATTGTAGCATAATTATTTGATATCTCCTGCTTATTATGAGCTATAATAGTATAGTATATGTATTAGTTATCGCAGGCACTACGGTCCAAACTCTACGGTACAACGCTGACTGCCACCGCG